ATAAATTTGTTAAAAGAAATTCTAATCCCTTAGAGTTGATTTACACTGACATTTGTGATATTGAGTCAACACCATCTCGTGGTGGGAAAAAGTATCTCATTACTTTCATTGACAATTGCATTAGAAACGACTATGTCTATTTGCTGAATGGTAAGGATGAAGCAATAGAAATGTCTAGACAATATAATATTGAAGTTGAAAATTAGTTGGGAAAAAGATAAGAAGTGATAGGGATGGAGAATATAAATCTCCTTTTGTAGAAATAAGTTTGGAAAATGGATTTATCCATCAAACTACTGTCCTATTCACCTAAATCTAATGAAATTGCAGAATGGAAAAAAAAAATACCCGAACTTTGAGGATTACTTATAAGTTCAGGTTTACCACAAAACTTGTGTGGAGGAACTATTCTTACTGCAAAAGGGAACAACAAAAAGTTGTCTTTTCAGAAAGAAAACAATTTTATTTGTTTAGGACACAATCTATTCCATATGAGAAATGGAAATGAAGGAAATCCAACTTGAAATATTTCAAAGTGTGGGGGTGTCTAGCCAAAGTCCAAGTTCCTATTCCTAAAATGATTAAAATAGGACCTATGATTGTGGACTGTAAAATTAGACTTGAGTTGTCTAGTGAAGGGTTTAAAAAACCTTGGAAAGAAAAAAAAAGAATGTACTTAATAAAGAGATTCAGAGGCGTAATAAATGTCAAAGGACATCTACTTCCTTCGAATATGATTTTGTAACATTTCTTGTGTCTTCTGTAGAGTCATCCTTTTGAAAAGATGGTGTCAATAGTGAGATTGATGCAATCTTGAGCAACCATATTGGAAGTTAATTGATCTTCTTCCAGAAAATAAACCTTTGGGTTCAAAGTGAATCATCAGAAAGAAAATGAAAGTCGATGGAACTGTTGATAAATATAAAGCAAGACTTTTTGTCAAAAGCTTTAGACAAAAACAAGGTCTTGATCTTTTCGACACATACTCGCCAGTAACTAGAATTACATTCATTTGGATGTTAATTGTGTTAGTTGTGGTATATGACCTCCAAATTCATCAAATGAATGTGAAAATAAGTTTCTTAAATAGAGAATTGGAGAAAGAAATTTACATGAAACAACCCGAGGGTTTTGTGGTTCCTGGTAAAAAAAAAGTGTGAGAACTTATTAATTCACTTTATGGACTAAAACAAGCACCCAAACAATGACATAAGAAATTTGACCAAATCATGTTGGTAAATCGATTTAAGAATGATGGAAGTGATAAATGTGTTCACATTAAAATCACAATGTCATTGTTTGTTTGTATTGGTGACATGATGTTGATCATCAATAGAGACACTAATGACATAAATGCTACTAAACGTATGCTAGAAAGCAAGTTTGATATGAAAAATCTTAGAGTTGTTGATGCGATTTTAGGTATAAGAATCCTTAGAACTTCATAACATTTAGCATTGTCACGGTCTCATTGCATTGAAAGGTACTTGACTAGTTCAAATATTTGAATTTCAATATTGTCAAGTCTCCAATAAATGTGAGCTTTGCATTTCAAAAGAGTGAAGGCGAAAGTGACTCACAATTGGATTGTGCTAGAGTATTGGGAAGTATGATGTATATCACAAAGTGTGCGCAATCAGATATAGCATGTGTTATTAATGAATTGAGTCGATTCACGAGTGATCCCAGTCGAACTCATTTGATGACAATGAAAAGAGTTTTGGGGTATTTAAGAAATACTCAGAACTATGTCTTGCATTATAACAATATCCAGCAGTATTGAAAAGATATAATGATGCAAATTGAATCACCGAACAAATTAAATGAGGTAAAATTCACGAGTGGATATGTATTTACTCTTGGTAGAGAAGCAGTCTATTGGAAATCTTCGAAAAAATACATGTATCACTAGCTGTACAATGATCTCTGAGCTAGGTGCTCTAGATAAGGCCGGTTAATAAGTTGAAAGACTCAGAAATTTCTTGATTGATATTCTTTTTTGGTCCAAACCTTTGGCATCAGTATGCATACAGTTTGATAGTCAAGATGCAATAGGTAGGGCATGGAGCATGATGTACAACGGAAATTCTCATCATATAAGAGATAGACATAATACCATTAGAAAATAATTACTCACTAGTGGAATTATCACAATTGACTATGTAAAGTCAAAGGATAATGTGTCGGATCCACTTACAAAAAGGCCTAACTAGAGAGAAAGTTGAAAGATCATCTAAGGGACTGGGTTTACGGCTTAGGACAAGTCATCATGGCGGTAACTCTATCTAGCAGACTGGAGATCCCAAGAGCTAAATTCAAGGAGAAAAACAAAGTTGTGACTGACGGTTCGACATTGTCAATCAACTCAATCCACTCTCATGATAAAGACAATAAAGCTTAAAGTTTTTAATGATTTGCTAAGTTTGGCAGACTTGACCAAATAGTGTATCTACGCAATGACACTATTAGAAATCACCTATGTGAGTGTGAAGTGTAAGCCGCTTCAAAGAGAATTATTGTCAAAAGCCTATTCTCTATACACTCATGAAACTAGGAGTTGTTCATGGCTGAAACGAACACAACCGTAAGAACCATAAACGGTAAAGGGTTAATTGTGTGACATATGGTTGTCTAGGTAAACACCAAAGTTCGACGGTTCAAAGATATTGCATCTACCGATTGACCGAGTATATCCGACATATGTTAACTACGGAAAGTTCAAGGAGAAACCTACTTATCCAGATGCAATTAATTCTTGCTTGTAAAGTACACATATTTGTCTGTTTATTTGTCTTGGAGTCATTCCCCATTCATGCGGGGGATTGTTGGGTTTTAAAAGGTGTGAATGGAAAATGAAGAGTTGCGACTTTTATGAAGAGTTGTGACTTTTATGAAGAGTTGCGACTTTTATGAAAAATTGCGACTTTTATGAAAAGTTGTGACTTTTATGAAAGGTTGTGACCTTTCCGAAAGATTGTGACTTTTCCAAAGGTTTGTGACCTTTCCGGTAAGGCACAATAAGAACATTTTCACACTACTCTTTGTTTTCTATAAATTGAGGAATTTCCTCCCATTTTAGTTGAAGAAATTTTTCTGGACTTCTTCCACTACTACTAAATCTAGTATTCTAAGTGTACTTTACTGCCGCTGAGTGGTTCGCTAACGCCGTGATTTTAGGTATGATACACCGGTGAGTAAGATCGTTTTATCCTGGAAGGATATATTCCATTAACCTCGGGTACTTGAAGGGAATAATTTCCTTAAGGGGACACTGTGCATTCAGTGGGCTCGATTTTTATATTGTTTCGAATCTGTTTTTGATTTTATTATCTCTACTAGTTATTGAGGGAAGAAAAGACTCAAACAATAAAAACAACGACAACGGCATATTCAGTAGAATCCCACAAGTACAGGTAAAATATGTTCATAGAACGTCCATAGACCTTATTACTACCTCACGCAGGAGAGGCGATTTCCAAAAGACTCTCACCTCACCTCATCTCAAGTGAGAATAATAAGAGAACGTAGCAACTAACAAGAAAAACACTGCAAACAAACCCTATCAGAAAAACAAAATAGTGCAATAACCACTTATTAGTTTCAGAAGCACCCCTCAATGGTTTATGTAATACACTCTCTTTTATTTGCAATTTGCAAATATCCCGACACATGACATTCCACAATAAACAAATGAGACAAATATAAAAAACAAGAACTACAATATAATACAACTAGTACAACAACAAACCTAAACCCTCGAAAAGCAATGATAAAACTCCACTGCGTACTAACAATAAAAACAACTTAACAAAAACTAATAACGATAACAATGAAAAATCACATACCATGGGGCCACATGAAGGAAGATGAACAAAGAAGGATTGAAGAAAGGGTTTTTGGTTAGGTTTATCAGGGTTCCACCTATAAATCCTAAATTCCTTCATCTTCTTATCTTTATCACTTAATTTCTTGAGAATTCCAACAGATTCCACTGCTTCTTTTCCATGTTGTTGTGCAATTGGGTGCCCTTCAAGTATAGGGAACCTAGAGTACTCCTTTCTCAAATGCCTCAATTTCTTTACCCCTTCTTTTATTATTAAGTTTCTTGACATTTTTTTCTTGTTTTCTTTGAATGAAGACCTCCAGAAATATGGAAAGAAAAACACTTCTCTGCTTGCTTTATGTGTTCTTTATTATGAGAGAGCTTACTTTGTATTGCATGCAATTGAATGGATTAGAGAGAGACACCTGGTTGCACGTGTCAATTACCTTGACGATCATATTCACAGTTTCTCCCTTTCCTCTGTCTATTTTTAGTTATTATGTTACAATTTTCGAAAGCCAATTTGATTCATTTTCAAAATTATGATACTTTTAAAAATTTAAATATTTAAAAATTAAAAAAAAAAATTATAACTTGTAATTTTTTTATATATCAATATGATGAAAAATACATCGTAAAATACTAATCAAAATTATTATCATTTTAACTCTAAAAAAGAAAACTATGACAATTGAAAATGGAAAGAGGGAGTATCATTTTAAAAACAAAAAAAAGTTTTACCTAAAGAGTGTTTAAACTTTTATCTATATTAATTATTAATTGTCATTAAATTATTTCTTTATAAATTTTAACGATATTTATACGATATGCTAAAATATAAATATCACTAATAATTGGATTTACAAAAAAGAAATTGATAATAACTAATTAATTCTAAAAATGCGTGACTACTTATTGAGCAGATCGAATGGAGAATTACGACGCTTTAACAATTTGGATTATTGACTATGGATGTAGGTCTTGTTATTCTGTATCCTGGTTCGGGATTGCGTAATATATTCTTCCTGATTTGGTTGTGTCAGTCAATTGAAAAAATGACCTAGACAGGTCACACAGAAAATAGAGATAACATATAATATAATATAATGCCAAACTATAATAATAATAAGACTCCTCATTCTACAACAATGCACAACAGAACAGCTAGCATTCCAGTTTAGTGGCTAGTCTTCATATTATTGCTTAGAGTCTCCACTGGTATCCCAGTTAAGTGCTTGGTCTTCATCTTGCTTATGGCCTCAGAAGGTCTAAGGCTCTTAGGGCAACATGCTGTGCAATTTCCTATTGCCCTGCATCGATATAAACGCCTTTCGTCCTCTGTTATTGCCTGCAATCTCTCATCTGCAAAATCATCTCGACTGAAAAAAACAACAAACAATTGATCAAAATTATATATATATGAACCATGTTTTTGATGATTTTAAGAATTAATTAATAACCTGTCGGAGATCCATCGATAGGTATTGATCAAGGCTGCAGGTCCAAGGAACTCCTCAGGATTCCACCAATAAGAAGGGCAAGAAGCAGTGCAGCAAGCACATAATATACATTCGTATAAGCCATCAAGCTTCTTCCTTTCTTCTGGTGTTTGCCTATACTCTTTCCCGTCTGGCGGGGGATTTCGTGTCTTTAGCCATGGCTCAATGGACCTACATTATCACAAACACAACTCCAATACATGCAATTATAAACTGATGCACAACTATATAAATAAAAAATTAAATAAGGGGAAATTACTTACTTGTACTGCTGATAGAAATCAGAGAGATCGACGACCAAATCTTTGATGACAAATAAGTGAGGAAGAGGAGTTATGGTCATTGGCCTGCTCGTATCCGTATCAATAGGCTTGAGACATGCTACTGTATTAACGCCATTTATGTTCATCGCGCATGATCCACATATCCCTTCTCTACATGATCTCCTGTAAGTTAAACTCGAATCTACCTCTCCTTTTATCTTTTGCAATGCATCTAGAACCTACAATGAACAAAATTCAAATCAACTAATTAATTTAGCATGAAATTTGGCGATTGCAACCCTACTAGTTAATTACCTCATCTAGCAATTGAAACTATAATATTGGGAAGAATGAGTCCTCTACAAATTTGTCTTATAATGAATGATGATGTCATAAAGTTGAATAGATAAACTTGCCTTATATATACCGAGTGATGTTTGAATTGCTAAATTATTTTTCAAAAAAATATTTGAACAATGTCATAAAATATGATTGATTATAAATATTGATTTTTTTTTTTGTCAAACATGTGGTTCATGACGTTCTTGCAATTTGTGCGCTTAGTTAGAATTGTTATTAATGTTCTTGGAAATTGTGTGCTTAGATTATTTATTCAATCATTTTATTATTGTGTTTTTGTGTTTTTTTCTTCTGATTTTTTCAATGTTGAGTTGATTCAACACTAAATTTTTTTAAATCTTATCTATATTCGACACTTTGCCGTGTTCAATCAAATCAACACTGCAAAATTTAACACGCAAAATCCTTATCTATATTCTATATTTATCGAAAAATATAAATTATGAATATATATTTGTCGAATATAGCTAAGAATTTTGTATTTTTACAGTGTTGATTTGATTCTAACACTGCAAATTGTCGAATAGCATGACAGATCCCACAAACTTCAGCGCAAGCAAGCAATTTTCTTCCAACACTTGCAGGCTTATCGTCGTGTTTGGAGAGTTGGATCCCAAAGAGAAGGTAGAGTAAGGTACCTTACAATGCACAAGGTACCATGTGTCTTATTTTAGGATTTTCCTTAATCTAGATATTTGTTGTGTTGATTACAAAGTTTTTAAAATTATAAGTATAATCATGTTTTTGATAAATTTCAGATATATAATTATCAATATCATTACTACAATAATTAATTCATTTTATTATTAAATAAAATATTATGTAATAATTAAATTAATATAGAGAGCAAGTCGAAAAGATCACTTACATTTTTATTTAAGTATAAGTAATGAAAATAGAAAAAAGAACACGAAAACACAATAATAAAACGATTGAATAAATAATGGAGAAGGAATATTAATTCGTTTTTTTACTGTGAGGCGCCTTCCATCCAAATATTATCCTTTTGATTTGATCCTTATTTTTTGATTACCCTTCTGAAAATTTTGCTCAATTTTTTACCCATTTGGCTCCAGACTTGTTTTCTCCTCCAGCAAAAAGGTTTCCACCTCCAGCAAAAAGATTTCCACGTAAACATTTTGTGTTTGTTATTCTTAAATTTTACTTTCCGTACGGTTCTTTCTTGACCTAATCTATTGACGGGTGGTGGACACATTCAAGCAACATTCATTCAAGGGCGACTCAAGCATATTAGTGGTCTAAAGCAAAAATCAAACAGAGCCTTAAACTTAAATTGGTAATAACTTTTATATTATTGATTTGTTCTAGTTTTCAATTGATAATATAACCATTCTTATTTTAAATTATTTTTCATGAGATGTAGTATCCAAATATGTCAAATTTCTTCTAATAATTCCTTCATTTTTCATGAAAATTTACTTTTTCTACAAATAGTATTCAATATTTGTTAAAATAATAATAACTTATAACCTATTATTATAAAAAATGAGGCCCCGAAATAATTTCGGGGCCTAAGGCACATGTGTTTTTTTTTTTTTAAGACTGTCGAGCTACCCCCGCCAACATTAATAGGCTGTACTAGACTAGTACCTTAGTAATAATTAATTATAAGTGCACTAAATCCAAGTTCAATTACTGAGTGATTCTCCAGACCGGCCCTAAATGAAGAATTGGAAAATGCTCTGGGGTAACAAGGGTTGACTGTCAACCAATTCATTAGTCGACCTTATTTAATTTCATTTTTTTCATACTCGAAAAAAATAGTAAGTATTGAATTTTGTTTGTGAGGATCTCATCTAACAATTTAAATTTTAAATTAGACATTTTGTTATTTAGCTATAAAAATTTATCCGTATATTCTAAAAAGGTTTAAATATGTCATTGGCTCCATTTATGTAATACGTTAAAAATTTAATTTATCTATGTCATTTCCATGGGAAAAAACACATCCATGTCATTCATTATTTGTTAACTGAAATTGAAACTTTAAATGGATGAACCTTTTTCTTTTAAAAAATAATTTAGTTAATGATTTGGCTATGTGTAAAAATGATTTTGCAAAATAAAAACTTTTTTCGATTAACAAATAATGAAATGAATGAGTCTTTTTCTCAAAGAAAAATGACATAGATAAGCCAAAACTCTAAACGGATAACATAGATAAGTCTTTTTTGAAAGTTGGATAAAATATTGAGCATTTGAAAACTACAAAAATAACACAAGAAAAAATTAGAATAAGACATACCATTGGGCCACAAGAGGTAAGGTGAAGAAAGAAAGACTGAAAATAGGGCTTTTGGTTTGGATTATGAGGACTCCATCTATAAATTCTGAATTCCTTACATTTATCATCACCTCTTTTGAGGTTCCGAACAGACTTTACAACTTGTTCTCCATGTTGTTGTGCAATTGGATGCCCTTCAAGTATAGGAAACCTAGAGTACTCCTTCTTTCTCCAACGCCCAACTACTTTCTTCATCCCCTCTTTTATCAAATTTCTTGACATTTTTTCCTTCTTTGAAGATTGTAAGAAGAACACTAATCTATTGTTATAATTGTGAATAATTCAATTACTATATAGTTGCATATGCATGCACGGAAGTGGATTATACAAGAGACACCTAGTTTCCACGTGTCAAAGCTTCACTATCATTTGGTTTTTAGCTTGACGGTGGTTCAATTTATAACGCAACTTGATACGGTGTGAAAGTTTCGATATCATAATTTTAATATTTAGTTTTTAAAATATTATATTATTACTATTCTATTTTAATTCGTTATTTGAAGTTCAATTTTGGTATTTTAGGATATGATAAATCAGTAATTATAGTTTGTTCAATTTCGATTAATATATACCCGTATAATATAATATTATGACTTTGATAAATTAAAAAAAGGTCTCAAATCATTATCATATAATGTATTGGTATCTTTAAGACTGATAATTCTGTTTAACTTGATACTAAATTAGTATATATATATATATATATATATATATATATATATATATATATATATATATTGTATTGATTGTTATCTCATGTATTCAGATTAGCAAACTAGAAATAATAAAAGATGAAAAGAAAAACACAAAGAACTATCCGAGTCCATAGAACCCACTGTGTGTCCTTAAGAAATTTAATCCTCTCAAGTACCCGAGGTTGCAGATTAATTCCTCCCAAGATAAAATAGATTAATTACCATTAAAGAAGTAGAAGTACCTCAAACTTCGATAATTTCAACGAACTCAAAATGACAACAACGAATCACACACAGACACGATCGATCGATTTTGTTTTATAAGAAATGTATGCAAAAGAAGGGAAGATAGCCAACAAAGGGTAAAGGTCACAACTTTTTGGAAAGAAGACAATCTTTCAGAAAGGTCACAACACTTTGGAAAAGGCACAACCTTTCAAACGGTCACAACCCTTTAGAAAGGACACAACCTTTCATAAAGGTCACAACCCTTCGGCATAGTCACAACCCTTCATTTTCCGTTCACACCTTTAAAACCCAACAATCCCCCACTTGAATAGCGAATGGCTATTGTTAAAACATATGCATGAAAAACTGTGTGATTCGTAAGTAAGGATTGATTGCATCTGGATAAGTGGGTTTTCCTTTGAACTTTCCATAGTGAACATATATCGAATATACTCAGTCAATCAGTAGATTTGATATCTTTGAACCGTCGAGCTTTGGTGTATACCTAGACAACATAAGTCACACAATCAATCCTTGAACTGTTTTTGATGCTCATTATTTTGTTCATTTCAGTCATGAACACGTCTTGGTTTATAAGTGCGTAGAGAACTGGCCTTATTGAATTCTCCTTGAAGCGACACTTCACACTTACATAAATGTGTTATCCCGTAGATACACTATTTGATATACCGTGTATCAAACTTAGAAACCATTAAAAAGTCCTAATGCCTTTATCTTTGTTACTGAACATTGTCGTATCATGAGAATGGACCATAAAAAAAAATATTTTGACAATGTTGGACCGTTATCAATGACTTTGTTTGATCTCCTTAAGCCTAGATCTTGGGATCTCCAGTCTTCTAGGTAGAGTTACCGCCACAATGACTTGTCCTCGGCCATAGTCCCATTCCCTTTGATAATCTATCAACTCCCTCTCTAGTTAGGCCTTTTGTAAGTGGATCCGACACATTATCCACTACTAGAAATTTGACCTATTGCCACACATATTTGGCGACACATTTACAACCGTTGCAATATATTATCTATTGCAACGGTTATGACTGTCGCAATATATCAAGGAATCTAATAGAACAATAATTAAAAATAACTGTGGCATCATTCTTACAACCGTTGCTATAGATTTTCTAAGGCAACACACTTTACAAACATCGCACTAAAAGACTCTATGGCAACGGTTATTTTAGTTAACCCGCGAATTTTATTCCCCAAAAATATATTTCCCTCCACTACTAAACTTTAGCTAAAGTGTCATTTATTTCATTTAGGGTTAAACTTTTGGTCTTCTTCTTCCAAAAGGATTTCTGAAAAAATGGAAAGAATAACGTGAGCTCCGATTAATGGCAGTACATTTCTTCAACAAGCTCTGGTCTTCTTCTTCTTCATAGTGAGGTAGTCTTCTTCTTAGGTTTGACAAGTCTTCTTCATTTCATCTCCATTGGTCTTATTCTCCAACATAAATCTTCTTCGACCGCAAGCTTTTGTATATAAAGGTATACTATTTTTAAGTTTCCTCTATATACTCCATTATTTTTAAGTCCCCATTGTCTCTAATTTGTTATGCATATAATATTTTGTATAATCTAAAACTCCATTGAAGGGTTTCTCAAAATTCTTAAAGAATAACAAGTGGGTTTGTTTGCAATTTATGTTATTTATTCCAATTTAGGTCAGCGATGTAATCTATTTGTGATTTTGAGTTTGTATTTCTGATTTGTTGAAGATTTCTGAACTCTCTGTGAAAGTTCATCAAGAAGCTTGGTTTCAATTTTATTAGTATTATCTAGAAATATAGATTTTTCTCATCCAAAATACAAAGATTCATCCTCTGAAACAAAGGTTATTTTAAGTTTTTTCTGGGATTGGAGACTCTTTTACCTTCCGAAGCTCATTGAAATCGGCTCGTGGTTGTGGAAGCTTGTGGCTAGCTCGTGCTCGTCTCAGTGTCACAGCTCCAAAGAAGGTAATTCCTTTTCGTTGGATTTCATTTTTCATTTTTCGGAATTATAGTTCAAACTCTGAATACTCTTTTATATGTTCTAGTTCCTTAGTTGAAATTTTGATTAATTAATCGATTTATGTGACTTAATTTGTTAGTATGTAAAATCTTATTTAGTTTGCTTTCTTACTAGTTGATGCCTTTTCTAGTTCTCATTTATGTTCCTTAGGGTGATTTGTGTTCCTGTTTGAATTCCCTTCAATATTAAGTGTGTTTATTATATTAATGTGTCTAAATGTGTATATGTTTTGAATCATATACTCCTTATTTGATTATTGCAGATGTTGGTCTTGTTCTCTATAATGTTACGGTTCGTATGTCAATGGATGTAAACATCCATTATGACTAGTTACTATTTTAAAAGACCTGATATTTTGACTTTTTTCAGAATTAGTTTTCGAATTTGACCTTCATTTTAATATCCAAGTTAAACTTGTTTTTTAGCTCAAATACTAAAAATCTATACATTTTTCTCATTTGTGAAAGTCAGATCTTGTTTAAGGCTACAAGACTCTTGATTTTAACTCTTTTAGTGCAATCGAGCTTCTGTTTAAAAATCGTTTAAGCTATAAAATGGGCTGGTGTTTTATGTGTCTTTGTTTGTTGTGAATAGAGTCAGCACTTCGTCTAAATCTTCTTGATTTGATATCTTTCGCATGTGCGAGTTCGGGGCTTATTATAAGTAGAATTTAAAGTTTATTCTCTTGTCAATTGAATTTGTTGGCCTGAGTACATGTTTCCAACAGTGTGAGTTATGTTCTTTGTCAACAAGCATTCTAGGTTGTTTTTGCTTAAGGTCATTTATTTAGGTGTCATTGCTTCTGATCAAATTTTTGAAGGATTGGTTTAGTATGTATCTGGTTAGAGTTAAGTCGTTTGTGCGTACCAAATTATGAAATCTGATAGTTTATCAATCTTGTTATTATTTTCTCTCGAATTGGTCAGTCCTACACTTCTTACATGCTAGACGGTTAACTGTATAACATTAGTTTGATTTCATTTCTTATTCCATATTGTGGCACCCCTATACCTTATATAAAGTCCTTGGAAATTGCATATACAAATTTCTAAAGTTTTGAATTTGCTAGACTCTTCTTTGTTTAGCTTTTAATGGCTTTTCTCTTAAAAATGACATTTTATATTTAGGGATCTTTTGAGAATTTGATGTTGAACCTTAGAGTTTCAGATCTTTTTTGTTGGTAAAATGATTAGGAAATACTAACTTTGCACTTGCAAGTCCTCATGATGTATTAATTTTTAGCTTGTAGATTCTGATTTACCTTATTCAGCTACAAGTGACTCATGTCATCTGGTTGTCCATTAACATGCATTAAAAACTTTTTACCTGTAAATTTTGTTGTATAAAGATAATAGACTGAGTTTTGTAGTTGATGTAAGATCAACTTATGAAAATGAAAACAAGGACGAGCTCTTGAAGTTAAGCATTAGGTAAGGTTATGTACAAGCATTGACAAAAAAAAAGTTAGGTCTGGACAGTACAAATAACCTTATTTGATTTACTAAATCCAAAAAAATATTGATTCCCCTGTTCCATTAAATTTTCAACATGTTACCAAGTGTGAATTTGTTAAGAAATGACTAATGAACTTGCTCTAATTTTAAGAAAATCAATCAGCATTCTGGTTTTTCAACAAAATACTAGAAAACTTGCATTCATGAATCATTTAACTACACTAAATATCTATTGTTTATGTTTTCTGTAGAAAACTCTTTCAATAAGGCTAATACTAAGTTATTCAAGATGAAAAAATCAGATTGTGTGCTAGTTGAAACTATTTGATCTCATATTCTGGAATCTTTCTCATTTACTGGTGCTAGGTGCTAGATGCTTGATTTTCTTCAAAGTAGCATTAGATGAAGCTAAAGGTTGACATTTCTTCTTTTGCTAGTCCATCATTTGCTGACATTATTAGAAGCATTAGATGTACTACCCTTACAATTAAGTTAGGATGCTTGTTCAGAAATAATGTTCCATCTCCATTTACTGCCTCATTCTTGTTTAATGTTGCAAGACTGATCACTTCAACTCCTAATTTATCAGCTCTAAGAATTGATTTTTCTATTTTTCAATTAATACCATCTGCTGCAAATGGCAAGACTACTGAAAGCAAAGCGAGGGATAGCCTATGTTTAGTGCACGTAGCCATTTAGATAGTATAAAGTTTCAAAAAACTTGGAGTAGATCCATATGATTTGTTTCTAAAAAGAATATTTGTTTATGTATAATTGCACTTTCTTGCTTTATGCTCATTCGCTATTGT